AGCATTAGCTGCAGAAGATCAACATGAATTGAAAACTCAGCATCAAGAAGACAAAAGATTCTCACCACTAGGCCAACTGGCAGCATCATCATAGAGATGGAGAAAAGAATGATACTGTTAACCAATTTCAGCTTGCTTGGTTCCACAGTACAAGGGTAAAAAGTTACTTTTGTACCAGTAGTTAGAAAATCAGAAGATGAATTTTATTGGGTAAATCTGCCAGGGACCTCTCCAGAGTGCTGAAGAGCAATAATGAGGATCTGGAGATTGAGCTGTTCCTGATCTAGGCCCTAGTCTTTGCAATACTTGCAAATGCATGAGAGAGTATAACAGTGACTAAGGTTGATAGAAGAATATTCAGTGCCTTTAGTTGTCGTGCTGGCCAGAGTATTAAACATAAAATGGACTGGCAGGAGGTCTGTCCTGGAAAGTGTGAAGCAATTTTCTCCCTGGAGGCAAGGATCTTGAAGTTCCATCTCATATTTTGGACATGTTGCCAAGAGAGACAGTACTTAGAGAAGGACATCATTCTTGAAAGGGTGGAGGGACAGCCCAGGAGAGGAAGATCCTGGATGAGATGGATTGACACAGTAATTAGGATAACTCGATAGCACCTAACAACAACAACACCTTTCGATATGGATTGCATCTCAACACTAACAAGACATACATTTTACCATTGAATTGATAAGCAACATGACAGATTGAGAAAAGATAAATTGTTGATAATTTATCCTACTTGGATTTATAATCATCATTCTTGGTACCATCAGTCAGGACATCAGGAGATGTATTACATTAGGCAAGTCCACTGTCAGGGACCTCTCCAAATTACTGAGGAGCAGTGATATCAGTTAGAAGACTAAGGTACACCTGATTCGGGTGATAGTTTTTTCACTCATTTGCTGTGCATCTGGGAGCTGGGCGGGCAGTGAGTAACAATGTCTAAAGATTTAATGTCCTTTTGGCAAAAGTGCAGCTACTGTACTCCTTGGAGGCAAGGATAGTGATGCTTCTTCTCACATACTTTGGGCAAATTATTAAGAGAGATTCTTTCTTGGGAAGGGACATACTTGGAAAGATGGTCATGAAGAGAGAGGAAGACCCACAATAAGATGGGTTCACACAGTGATGGCAGCAAGGGGCTATAGTGTGTCAGAGATGGCAAGTTATGGCATAAGGTAGAACAGGGTTCAGATCTGTGTATCAGGTCTCAGTGAGTCATAACTCGACTCGATGGCATCTAACAACAATATTGGGCTGAAAATTCAGCCACAGGGATGAGTTAACTTCTGGGCTGCAAGGATGACTAAGGAACATAATCTTGGATATTGTAAAAGTCAAACGAGTAAGCCTCTTCTTTTATATAATTTTGCAGTTTGACATTATTTTCCCCCTCTCTCCTCACTTTGCCCAAGATCTTTTAATGTGATGCCTTTCAGAACAATCAGCAGTGGTAACTCAGTACTACCCGATTTTTCTCTCAGGCTGAAGGAGGGTTATGTTTGTTTTTACTAAACCTTTGCACTAATTGCCTTCAGGTATCTTTGATTTCCGTCATGCTTAGCTCCAATGAGGGAACACCAGTTCATGAGGCTTAATTTTGACTGTTACAAGCCATAGTTGTTACTCACTAAAGTAGGATTAGAAATGTTGTCTTGTATTGTGTTACACAAATTGACTTTGATGTCACCTAAAGCTGTAGTCCTAAACCCCCAGATACAGCAGCTCATTCCTTCCAGATGTTTTGTTAATGACTAAGATGTATTATAAATTTGCTCTACTATAGACATGAATATATATATAACATAAATCACATAAAAATATCATCTGCCAAATTTGTATATGCTTATAATAAGTTGTACTTACGTAAACTAGTTGAATTGGGAAAATCTGCTATCAGGCACCTCTGCAGAGTACTAAAGAGCAATGGTGTCATTTTAAGGACTAAAGTGCACCTGATCCAATCCTTGGTCCTTTCCTTTATTTACTTTGTATCTGAAAATGGATGCACCAGGCTGGAAACGGAAGAAAACAAGGGTATTAACCCTTAAGAATTCAATCCTGGAGTGGAAATTTAAGAACAAGGATTTTTTTTCTCAGGACCTTCCAGGAAAAGAAGCTGTACATGACAGTTTTACTTAACAACTTTAGATTGAACTCGTTCTGACTGCATCATAAGAGACTGACAGCAGCATGATATGGTCAGAATCAGAGAAATCCTGATGGCTTGAGACTTAGGTCACCACATCAGGGGCTGGTCAATGGGAGACGGGTGTTGAATGTTGTATGCAAAAGTAGGAAGGGTTGGTGATGCAGTAGGGAAAGAAGGTGGGACAGACCACCAACTACTCATAAGCAAGTTCAAGATGAAGTTGAGGAAAATTAAATCAAGTCCACGCAAAACAAGATTTGACCTTAAGTCTGTCCCACTCAAATTTCAAAACCATCTCAGGAACAGGTTTGAGGCCTTGAGCACCAATGAGTGTAGACCAAATGAGCTCTGGGAGGATATCAAGAAAATCGTCCATGAAGAATGCAAAAGATCATTTTAAAGGCTAAAGAAAAAGAAAAGACCAAGATGGATGTCAGATGAGACTCTGAGGATTGCATTAAAGCGCCGAGAAGCCAAAGCTAAAGGAAGAAATCAACAAATCAAAGATCTGAACAGGAAATTTCAAAAGGCAGCTCGGGATGACAAAGCAAGATACTGTAATGAAATGTGCAGAGAGCTGGAGTCAGAAAATCAAAAGGGCCGGACATGCTCAGCGTTTCTTAAGCTGAAGGAGTTGAAAAACAAATTCAAGCCACGGGTGGTAATACTTAAGGATACATTGGGTAGAATGTTGAATGATCCAGGAGGTATCAAAAGTAGGAGGCGTATACAGAGTCACTATATCAGTGGGAATTGGCTGACACAAAGGAATTTCATGAAATAACATGAGCAAGAGCCTATGGTGATGAAGGAGGAAGTTCACATTGCTATGAAGGAATTGGCAAAAACGAGGCTCTAGGAGTTGACAGCATACCAATTGATTTATTTCAACAAACAGATGCTGCCCTGGATGTGCTTAGTGAGTTGTGCCAGGAAATCTGGAGGACAGCCAGCTGGCCAACTGACTGGAAGAGATCGGTATTTTTTCCCATTCCAAAGAAAGGTGACCCAAAAAGAGTGTGGAAATTATCGAACAATATCATTAATATCACATGCAAGCAAAATTCTGCTGATAATTATCCAAAAACATTTGGAACAATATGTCAACAGAAAACTGCCAGACATGCAGGCTGGATTTAGAAGAGGTTGTGGTACTAGGGGTATTATAGCTAATGTTAGATGGATCTTGACAGAAAGCAGAGAATACCAGAAGAATGTCTATCTGTGTTTCATTGACTATGCAAAGGCTTTTGACTGTGTAGATCACAACAAGCTATGGCTGACTCTGAAAAGAATGGGAATCCCAGAACATTTGATCGTGCGAATGCGAAACCTATACTTGGACCAAGAGGCAGTCGTCAGAACAGAGCAGGGACACACTGGATGGTTCAAAATCAAGAAAGGGATCCGTCAGGGATGTATTTTGTCTCCATACCTTTTCAGTCTGTATGTGGAACAGATCATCCGAGACGCTGGGCTGTATGAGGAGGAGAGGAGGAATGTGGCATCAGGATTGGTGGAAGAATCAACAACCTGCATTATGTAGATGACACAACCTTGCTTGCTGAAAGTGAGGAGGACCTGAAGCACTTGCTGCAGAAGGTCAAGGGCTGCCGTCTTCAATATGGATTGACGCTCAGTATCAAGAAAACAAAGATTCTCACCACTGGGCCTATTGGCAGCATCAGTATGGATGGTGAAGAGATTGAGATAGTTAACAGTTTTAGTTTACGTGTTTCCACAGCCAACACTCTTGGTAACAGCAGCCAGGAAATCAGGAGACGAATTGCATTGGGAAAGTCAGCTGTGAGGGACCTCTCAAGAGTACTGAAAAGCAACGATGACAGGCTGGAGACTAAGGTGTGCTGATCCAGGCTATAGTCTTTGCAATTACGTGCTATGTATCGGAGAGTTGAACAGTGAATAGGGATGATAGAAAGAGGATTGATGCCTTTGAGCTGTGGTGCTGGAGAAGAGTGTTGAATATACCGTGGACTGCTAGGAGAACAAACAGGTTTGTCCTGGAGAGGGTGAAGTTGGAGTGCTCCTTGGAGTCAAGGATTCTGAAGCATCATCTGACGTACTTTGGGCATGTTGCAAGGAGAGACTGGTCCTTGGAGAGGGACATCATGTTTGGGAGAGTGGAGGGATGGCGCAGGAGAGGAAGACTGTTGATGAGATGGGATCGATTCTGTGAGTGGAGGGGTGGGAATGAGTGTGTTTGAGATGGCGAGGTTGGGCTCTTGTACGTAGGGTTGCTGTGAGTCGCAAGCGACTTGATGGCACATAACAACAGCAACAACTGAAAATTACTCATTGACTAAGGATGCCAGAAGGATCATTTCATTTGAGTTGTGGTGTTGGAGAAGAGTATTGACTCTCCCTTGGATTATTTTAGAGACCAAACAGGTCTGACCTTGAGAAAGTGAGGTAAAGGTGATAAAATTTAATTTGGGCATGTTGTAAGGAGGAATTAGTCCTTGGAGAAGGACATCATGCTCGGAAAAGTGGAGGGTCTGTGTAAGGAAGGAAGACCTTCGATTAGATGGATTGACACAGCCATTGTTAACAGTGGGCTCAAGTGTGTCAGGGTGTATGGCACAGGATAGGTTCAGGATAGGCAAGATTCAAATTTTTTGTTCATAAGGTTGCCAACACATAACAATAATAATCTTTATCTTACCTGTAAGCCTATGTCTCCACCCATAGATGTTTATTATTACTGATAATGCACAATTGTTATACATATGTTTTCTTATGTAACAGTGATAATGGAAAATCATGTTAATATTTTTCTTTGAATAATTCTTGGGGTGGGTCTTTTTGTGTGTTTTTTTTTCTTTAGAGAGAATATATCCCCACAAGATGCAGAAATAGGTCATTCAAATCCTATGAAACAAACAAACAAACCAAAACAAGTAAGTTACTTATAACCTGCCTTGATTAAGGTGGTCATTGTGAGGCCCATATTTGTTTTCTCTTTGGCTAGAATAGAATTTATTTTCTATTTGCCTGACTTAATCTTTTATAAACATTTTTAGCCATGCCCATTTGGAAGAGTCCCAGTTAACCTTCTAAATAGTCCAGATTATGGTATGAAGACAAGTGGTTCCATTATACCCAGTTTTACAAAAAGGTATGTCTTCCTCAATTTTATTTCGTTACTTATAGACTGATGGCCAAATGGTTTGGGTTTGGTTTTTTATTTTTATTTTATATTGGCTTAATTATAAAGTTTGTATACATTGGTTTCACAATGGATCTTTCCCCTTTCCTTTACTCACCAAATCTTTTAATGGGTAATATTAATTATGATTACATTTTCTTTGCAAAATTTCAAAATAGCAGCTTTCTCAGTTGTTTTTAGAAGAAAAGAATGGGTAAAAAGTTTTTAATTTTGTGTTTATTTAAAATACCCTCTAAAAAATCTACTTGAAAATTAGAAAACATGGAGGAAAGATTACTAACTCAATAAGAAGTTAAAGAAAAATTTTATAAACATCCCTAGGATGTAAACTCAGGATATTTAACTTCTAAGAGTTTCTTCCTGCTATTTATGGAAATATCCATAGCAGAGTTTCGGAGTTTACTGGTAAGGGTTTTTCCCCCCCTCCAACTAGTTCAAAGAACAAAGCATCTATACTGGGAAAGAGAATTGATTATCTTTCATTTAGTTCATTTTCTTCAAGAATCCTAGAGCCTCAAGAAATGCGTTAAAGGCAAAAAATCGAGACATGTGTATCTTCCTTCCTAACATGATCCCTTGATGTGGGTGTTAGAATTTTCTTTTTGTTTGGTTTTTTTTAACCCTGAAAGAAAGCCATTTTGAAAGTAAATTTCAAACACAGTTGACCTTTTTTAAAAAAAAAAAATTATTTGGTAATGACTTCTGTATTAAATTCTTAAATTTGAAGACAGTAATGTTAAAAGAACATTTTGGTTGTCATCTTTAAGTCCCAAAGCCTTATGAGAGAACTATTTCATATGACTTAATTTTGCTGAAGAATTAAGGAGAAAGTCTGCCATTTCAAATAAAATTTTTATTCCTGCTATCTGTTATGATATTGTTGCTAGGCACTGCTGGTACCACAAAAGTTTATATACTACTCCTGGTCTGAAATGTAGTCGTAGCCACTTAGTTTTGTTCCCCCTTATCCTTTTGCATATCAAACTTTAACTCTAGGTGTTGCCTAAAAAAGAAGTAAGCATTCATTTCTAGTTTATCACTTAAGTTTCCATTCATTATCTTTTTTTTTTTTTTCCATTTTCACCTTTAAGCTTAAATGGTTGTTTTTAAACTTTGGGTTTAAGATATTTTTTTCCAGTTAAATTGTTTATTGTTTAAAAGCCAATATTTAAAATGAAAAGAATACATTGAGTGGGTTAATTTTAAATAGATGCATTGTTTTGTGGGCTTTAGACAGACTTCTGGATCAGAATGCCGAGATTTGAGAATGCCTGGATCTAAACCAAGTGGCAACAATTCCTGTGAATTGAAAATTTTGAAGGTATTTCAGGTTAAAAGCTCTTAAAAGAGCGTAAGAGTTCCTGATTGAGGTTTCTGATTGTGAAATGTGTGGGGAAAGGGTTCATTGTTTATAATGAATGTTGGTTGTAGTGTCAGAGCCAACTCATAACTCTCCATCAGGTTTTCAGAGGCAGGAAATCACACAAGAACTTGCCTGTCTTTCCCCTGCTGAGCACCAGCAGATTAGAACCATGTGTGTTGGGCTTGACGGTGCACCACTTGGCCACCAGAATTCCCTATAATTTTTAATATATGAGTTTACTGATGTCCCAAGAGGTACATATTACCAATAGGAAGTGATTCAGAAGTCCTTAATTTTTCCCCCCCAAAATTAAAATGGAGAGCTGTTCTGTATAATATGTAAGCATATTATTTGGCCTTTGTTTGGTAATACATGTAGATCCCTCCCTACAGGTTTTGTTTGCTTGTAAATTTAATCATCCAATTCTGACAAAGTATCTTAGACAAAATTATGAGGGTAAATTGTGGTAGAGGTCAGGGATTATTAGGTAAACATGCCTGATCCCTGATAAGACTAACTTTGGGTGAACTTCCAAGAACAGAATCAAATGTAACCCCTTACACACACTAACTCTTTTCTAAATGACTATTTTAGCAGTTTATGAGTCCATTGAAAACATATTGGCCAAGTTTTTGGTTCTGACACTTTTTATTGCTTGAATTAATAATTTAGGTAGTTTGTCTTTGTCATTGGTTTGATTTTTGTGATTAGATTTTTTTTTCAACAGTCGTTTCACATTTGTGAGATTTTAATATATTGAATAATAAGAAAGATTAGTGCTACTATTGTTTATTGGTCTTTCCTTGTTACATTACTCTTATAGTCTATTCAGAATTTACATTCCAAGGAACCATTGCTATCGGATGAGAAAAGTTCTGAGCTTACTACTGATTCATTAACTTTGAAGAATAAAACTGAATCAAGTCTTTTAACTAAATTAGAAGGTAAGAATGATAAAATAAATTTATTTCTGTAGGAAACCACTTTTTTTTCCCCATCAAGGGAAATTGTAAGAATATATTTGTGTTCCATTGTATATTTATTTCAGGTGACTTTTATAGTATATGAATCCTTTTTGTCTATTCTTTATCATTCACCTGAAAGTTTATTTGCCCAGAATTGTATAAGCTGCATAAAGAAAGAGTATAGTGGTGACTGAATAATTTTTCTTTAACAAATATTCTCTGCGGAAAAGGTACAACACAGAAGTAGCTCCATTTTTATAATTCTGTTTCCTCTTACAAAACATTTGGTTTTACACTATGTGGAACTATGATAAGTGCTCTAAGCAATACAACACTCACTGCCATTAAGTCAGTTTCTACTCAGGACAGCTCTTCTCTGGGATTCTGAGGCTGTGGCAGGAGATGTATTTGAATCAGACTTTTGATTGCCATCCTGACACTTTGTGTTCTATACCATGAGGGCTCTTTAATAAGTGTTCTAGATGTATAAATGAATGAAGAGGAAAAGAGTCCTGAAGATGTAGATATCCATTGTGGGAGAGTGGAACCTGTAGAATATCATGTTGTTAGGTGCTATCAAGTCCATCAGGACTGTATGAACAACAGATGTAAATATTGCACTATCCTGTACTATTTTCACAATCTTCCTCATGCTCAAGCACATTGTACTATCATTGGTACCAGTCCATCTCATGAAAATCTTTCTCTCTTTCAACTGACCCTCTATTTTTTCCTGTATGATGTCTTTCTCCAAGGACTGGCCCCTGCCATTCCTATGACCAAAGTAAATGATGGGAAGTTTCACCATTCTTACCTTTAAGAAGAAATCTGGCTGCCTCCAAGGCGAAATTTTTTGGGTTACTTTTTCAACAGTTCATGATATAGTTAATGCTCTTCAACACCACAATTTGAAGGCATCAGTTCTTCTCTCATCTTTATTCATTGTCCAACTTTCAGATGCATGAGAAACAAATGAAAATGCCATCCATCGTTTAGATTAGGCAAACCTTAATCTTTATACTGATATCCTTGCTCATTTGCAATTTGGAAAGGTGCTTTAGTGTTTATTGTTTAAAATTACTTTCCTAGCCGTTGGTTTTAATTTTGCCACATGAATAGCTGAGATTGTACAGACAGGCTGTTTTAGTCTAATGACAAAGGCATTGGCTACTCTCACCATTAAATTGGATGGATTCAGTCTAAGAAAAGGGAATCTCGTCACCATCAAGGAAGAAGAAACTGCATTCTTCAGAGCTAGACCAAGATCTGCATAAGAGCTACAGCTCTCCCACAGTGTCAAAGCCAGAGACCTTCATCCAAGATTGCTGGAGGACTAAGGGAAGACAACAAAACTGGAAGGACTAAGGGAACTTTGTAACACTGACCTAAGATGTGAGGCTGAAGGTCAAAGGACCTATAATCACATTTGAGAGTGAAAGATTGTATCATACTGCCAACCTGATTTACAGCTGGTTAGACTCTGGGTCTGTAAAGTTCATGTAGTCATTGCAACAGATTTCTGAATTAGTACAGCAGTTAAAATTGATATTGCAATTGGTAAAAATAGGTACAGGTGCATGGGGGATTATCTTTGACTCTAAAGGAATTTCATACTGTGGATACTGCTGATGGAGACAGTTCCACTTTGTGGAGATAGTGTAAGTCAGAGTTGGCTATCTTTATGCTGCCTACACTCATTTTACAGATCCTTGACAATAGATTTTCCCAATGCAACTTGCTTTTGTAAATTTTTTAACAGCTCCTTCCATGAGTATTGATTGTGGAATGAAGTAGTTGGCAACTTCATTTTTTTCTTCATCTATCATCATGATGTCTGTGAAGATCTTTGTTTTCTTAATATTGAGGTATAACTCACAGTGATGGCTGTAGTCCTTGATCTTCCATAGCCTTTTTCGCTTTCTGCAAACAAGGTTATGTCATTTCCATAATGCAGGTTGTTAATGAGTTTTTCCTTCAATCCAGATTTGATAATCTTTTTTATATACTTTGATTCTTGAATGATTGCTCAGCATACAAATTAAATAGGACACAGTCTTGGTGCACAACTTTCCTGATTTTAAACCCTGCAATGTTGTCTTGTTATGTTCTGACAACAGCTTCTTAGTCCATGTATATGTTTCAAATGAGTACAATTAAGATTACTAGGATTCTTAATCTTCTTGGGATTCCCATTCTTCTCAATGTTAATCATAATTTCTTGATCCACACGGTCATATACCTTTGCATAGTCAATAAAATATAGATTCTTCTGATATTTTGGAGAAACTTTATTATAATCTGTGCCTGAGAAACCATGTTTATCTAATTTTCTTTTCAATTGAGTGCCAAGACTATAGCAACAAAACTTCTTTATGTACCAAATAGGCTATTACAAAAGGTCCCACATAATAAAAATACGATTTAATAAAATATCGAAGTGAATGCAAACTTATAACCAAGACTTGGATTTAAAATATTAAACATTACCAGTATCTCAAGTAACCTTCTCAAACCCTTCTCATTTGATAACCTTTCTAGCTAATTCCTTAAATGTAATTACTATTCTGACTAAAACTGAATTTTGCCCTACAACCAGGAATGGATAAAATAGATGAATGGGACCTTCTAAGAATCAAAGCCCTATGCACATCCAGAAACCTCTCCAGCAGGATAAAAAGGAAAACCACAGACTGGGGAAAAATATTTGGTGTCTATCTGTATTTCATTGATTATGCAAAGGCATTTGACTGCATGGATCATAACAAACTGTGGCTGACTCTGAGAAGAATGGGAATCCCAGAACATTTAATTGTGCTAATGCGAAACCTATACTTGGACCAAGAGGCAGTCGTCAGAACAGAGCAGGGCAACACTGCATGGTTCAAAATTGGAAAGGGTGTACGTCAGGGATGTGTCCTATCTCCATACCTTTTCAACCTGTATGCAGAGCAGATTATCCAAGAGGCTAGGCTCTATGAGGAGAAGCGTGGCATTAGGATTGGTGGACTATCTATCAACCATTATCTATAACTATGCGTTATGCAGATGACACAACTTTGCTCGCTGAAACTGAGGAGGGCCTCATGCACTTACTGCAGAGGGTCAAGGACTGCAGCCTTCAATATGGACTGAGGCTCAATGTCAAGAAGACAAAAATTCTCACCACTGGACCAATCGGTAGCATCAGGATGGATGGTGAAGAGATTGAGATTGTTCACAGCTTCAGTTTGCTCGGCTCCATGGTCAACACTCTTGGCACCAGTAGCCAGGAAATAAAAAAACGTATTGCGATGGGAAAGTCTGCGGGTAGGGACCTCTCTAAAGTACTCAGGAGCAACGGTGTCTCTCTGGAGACTAAGGTCTGCCTGATACAGGCCATGCAATCACTTGTTATGCATCAGAGAGGGACATCATGCTGGGTAGAGTAGAGGGACAGCGCAGGAGGGGAAGACCCTCTATGAGGTGGATTGATTCAGTGACTGGGGTAATCGGGATGGGTGTGTCAGAGGCAATGAGATTGGCACAGGATAGAGAATGGTTTAGGGCTGTTGTACATAGGGTCGCTATGAGTCACAAACGACTCGACGGCACATAACAACAATGACATATCTGATAATGAACTTATATCCAGAATTTATAAAATACTTGAGCACCACTATAAGATAAAGGTAAACAACCCAATTGCAAAATGGGCACAGGATATGAACAGACACTTAACTACCGAAGACATTCGGATGGTGAGCAAACACCTAAAGAAATGTTCAAAATCCCTAGCTCTAAGAGACATGCAGATCAGAACAACTATGAGCTATCATTTCACCCCAGTAAGAATAGCAAAATTCAACAGAGCAGTAAACAAATACTGGCGAGATTGTGGACAAACTGGAACTCTAATTCACTGTGGGTGGGAGTGTAAAATGCTGCAGCCACTGTGGAAGGTAGTATGGTGCTTCCTCAAAAAGTTGCAAATAGAAATACCATTTGACCCAGCAATTGCACTACTGAGAATATCCTAAAGAAACCAGAACTGCTACCCAAGCAGATATATGCATCCCCATGTTTATTGTGGCTTTGTTCACAATAGCAAAGAGTTGGAAACAACCTAAGTGCCCATCAACAAAAGAGTGGATAGAGAAGCTGTGGAGTGTTCACACAGTGGAATACAATGCAGCATTGAATAACAAGGAACTCATGAAATATGAAAAATGGGTGACCCTGGAGGACATTATGTTGAGTGAAATATCACAGTCACAAAAGGACAAATGCAGTATAATGCCAGTGTTATTATAAAACAGGACTGACATCGGGGTGCAGGGGAAGCTAAGAAAAGAGGGGATAAATAATGTACACTGCATTGAAACAGATGAGGGAGAGAACTGTTCAAAAGGAATATATGATTACGTATTATTTGCATGGCAAAAGTCCAGAATAAGAGCTGCATAGTAAAGTGGACTGGGGATGGGGAGGGTAATTGTATAACAATGAAAAAAAAAAATTCATTGCTGATGTAAGAGCTGAACAGAAGGTATCAAAGGGCAGCTCAAGAACACAAAGCGAAGTATTAAAATTAAATGTACAAAGAGCTGGAGTTAGAAAAACAAAACGGGAAGAATATGCTCAGCATTTCTCATGCTCAAAGAACAAATTCAAGGATCAAGTTACTGTAATGAAGGATCTATGTGCAAAATCTTGCATGATGTAGAAAGCATTAAAAGGAGATGGAAAGAACACACAGAGTAGTGTATAAAACCTTTCCCCTCTCCCCAAAAAACACCCAGTTGGTTGACACTAGGCCATTTCAGAAAGCAACACATCATCAAAAATCAATAGTACTAAAGAGGAAGTCCAAACTGCGCTGAAGACATTGACATACAGTAAAGTCCTTGGATTTGATGGAATACCAACTGAGGAGTTCATTAAGAAACAGCTGGAACAATACATCAACAGGGAACTGCTAGAAATTCAAGCTGGGTATAGAA